TCCGGCTCCTCTGCGGGAGAAGGGCGGCTGGGCGCCCCGCTGCCCACGCTCGTCACCTCCCCGCGTGCCCGCACGATGCGGTCGCATCCTCTCCATCCCGGGCTGCTCTTCCTGCTCTCTCCTGCGCCCGGGAGGACTCGCCGGGGCGCATGGAGAGGCTCCCGGTGCTCCCCGTCCCAGCCGCGCTCGTGGCCGCGCCGTCGGGACGGCGGCACCGGGCACGTTGCGGGGACGGCCCCGGCTCACCCGCCACCCACCCGGGAGCCACGAGGAGGAGGGCGATGACGGCACCTGCAACAGCGCGGCCCCCCCGCTCCGCCGGCCCCTCCGCATCCCTCCTCTCCTCCCGCACGGATTGGCCACGCGCCGCTTCCCGGGAAAGCCCCATCCATCCCGAGCTCCCATTGCCCTGGCACGAGCCGCACGAGTGGGAGCGTGGCCGAGCACTTACCCTTTCCAGCACAATCTCCTCGTATTTAAACATCCCATCGCTGCCGTTCACCTGGGGAAGAGGAGAGAGCGCGTTACTGCCCCGCGCGGTCGCCTCGTCCCGGGGGGAGCGTTCACCTTCCCTTTGGATATCCCCAAACTGAGACCCTGATCTTTGCACCAGGATTCACTGCTGCAGGAAGGAAGGAAAGCAGCTCAGTTCACTGAAAGTCTCTACATAGTAATATAATATATACCCTTAGCGCCTGTATCTTTTAAAGCTCTTAGTAACAAGGATTTGCTGGAAGTGCAATTTAGAATAATTTATTCTACTCAATTAGCTGGTCATGAAGGGAACAAGGTGTTAGGAGCCTAAGGAGGGGGACAGAGTAACAAGCGAGCATATGGAGATGCCCTTATATATAAAAAAGAGCAGGCTGCCTCAATTCCGCAGGGCACTGCATTTAAATCCCTGCTCACTGTGTCCGAGCGGGGCTCTTGGAGCTGTGTGGATAAGGGACTTCAACCCCTTTGCTGGGAAAGGACTAAGGAAACAGGGATGCTGAGCCGGAAAGGAGATGGCAACAGCAGGGATGTGACTCCAGAACAACAAATGCACAGGTCAAAAAGTTCTGCTTCCCCATGGCCACAAACGCACAGAAAAATAAAGGTGGCAGCTTCAAAACAAACAGAAACACTTTTTACCCTCACATTGCGGGACCTAAGCTGCTGCTGAGGCCTAAAAATTGCAAGATTGGTGAGGCCAGCAATATTCCCACGGATGACAAGAGTATCCCGGGATAAGGGACCAAAAGCAGCCGGGTCCTCAGGGTCCTGCTCCCTCCAAACCTTCCCCGGGCTCTGCAACAGGGCTCGTCCCGTCGGTCGCTAATCGATGGCTCGCGGCCGGCACGACGCAGCAGCAGCAGGCGGTGCAGACCCCGGTTCCACGGGGACACGCGTCCCGTTGTGCGGGATTCCTGGGAATGGCTCCTCTGAGCACCAGGAGCTCTGCTGCGGCACGAGCCTCCCGCAACCCGGAACGCCAACCGCCAGGCTAAGGGCACAGCAAACGTCATTGGCACCAGGGACATCATTTACACCAAAGACGGCGTCCGACACGATGGAACGAAACTCGGTGAAGCAGCCGCAGGGCCCTATGGATAAGTGGGAATAATCGGGCGACGGGAGGAACAGCAGCCCAGGATCTCAGCCGGGGATACGTCGCCCCTGGCACGTGTGCCAAACGCCAACCATGGGAGGGAGGGCAATGACCTGTCAGAGAGGCTGCAGAATAAATCAGGTTGGTGCCCAGTCCTTCTCGTGCCCCCTGACCACTGCTGGCCACCGGGTCCCACCACCCGGACACCTCTGAGGTGGCCTGGGCAGCGTGGCCGTGGTTTCCAGAGCTTTGAAAAGCCACACGTGGCCTAGTGTTGGGCAAAGCCACCCCACTGGGAGGGCATCAAGACATCAGGACATCCAACAAGCCCTGGGAGGGCCCTCCCCTCCATCTCTCCTTCTATCCATGAATATATGGGGGCACAGAATCCTTATGCCTGGATTCCACATGGGAATGGTGGGGTTAGCCCCTGCTCAAGACCTCTGGAAACGTGTCCTCTCCGGTGCGGGAAATCCCTGCGATGTCCACAGGACACAGGCCCTTCCCTCCGCATATCCCACCACACCGGCTAATCCCGGGATCGAAGAGGGGAGTCGGCACCTCGCAAGGCCTCTCGCTGCAGGCTCCGGGATCACCCTGCCCTTGGAGCAGGGAGCCTCCCGCTCGCTTCCCGGCTTTGCTGCTCCACAGCTTTCCAGCAACGCGGAATGCTGGCAGCCTCCGTTACTACACACGCTGTCCCCTGTGCTTTGGCATTAAACGCTATTGCCACACAGGCAGCCATATGCACACCCACGGGCGCAGAGGAACAGCACATCCATCCCTACGGGATGGGGATGTGCCGAAAACTTGGACAATCTGTGAGCTGTGGAAGGAGCCAGCGAAAGAGCAGCAGCTCCCGGCGCTGCCACGGACACGGAGCCGGCCCCGGCGCCAACCCCACGGAGATCTCCGACGGGAGCAACGCGGGGAAGCGCAGGGATATCCCCGCTCTCGGTGACGGTGACTGTCGATGCGAGCGGTCCTTGGCACCGCAGCCCTTCGCACGCAGCGGCCGCGCGTCGCCGGAGCAGCCCCGCGCCACGTTGGAGCTTTCATTGCGTTTCCAAAACTCAGGCAACAGACGACGGCTAATTGCATAAGGAAGCCAAATGGAGAACTTAATATATACCACGTCACCAAGGAAACGGGCCGGCAAAGCGAACGCCCCGCGCCGAGCGCAGGCGCTGTCCGACGCCAGGGCCGCTCCGCGCTGCGCCCCAGGACGGCCACTGTCCCCGGGGCTCCGGGAAGGGGACACAGGGGGGGGTCTGGCATCCCCCCGGCATCCACGAGCATCCCTCCTCCTCCCCTCTCCCCCGCGTTGCATTTGCAGGCTGCTGTAATTAGCTCTGCCGAAGCCTCATCAACAGCTGGTTGGAAGGGGGAAAAAAAGGGAGGAAACGGTGTTTTTTCCAAGCCCTGCCCACACAGCAAGCCCACCTGAGGCCGCAGGAAGAGGTGTCCCTCTCCGGCCTCCTCCTCTCTTTCGTGCTTGCAGCAGCAGGGAAATAGTTAGCAACGGTGACATTTAAATCATCGACAGAAGGCTGCAGAGTTAACACTCATGCGATAAACAGAAGCGCGCGCACCTTCCAGAGCTGCTGCAAGCTGTCTGCAGGCTCTCCTGCCAGCGCCGCGCGCCGCCGCACGTGGACCGCGCCGCGCGGGGCTGGGGAGGCCGGGGGAAAAAAAAATAATCAAATTTAGAGTCAAATTTAGAAGCTTCAAATGTCTCTCTTAAAAAACCCAGCCAGCTCAGGGGTGTGCAGAGAGGGGCAGCAGGAGCAGCGCCCGCCGTGCGCTTTGCACCCGGGGCTGTGCGCGGAGTCAAGGGGCGCCGTGTGTGAACCCCCCTCCTTGCAGTGCTGCTTTGCCAAAGGGCGCCGGTTTGGAGCGCGCGGCGCCGAGGTCCCCCGGCGCCGTGACGCCGGCCGCGCGCGCGGGGACGCGCGGCGGTGCCGCTCGGATTGCACCCTCCTGCCTTTCCAGCTTCCGACCCGGCTTTTGGAGGAGCTGGGAAGGAGGAGGCAGCAGGGCAGTGAGAGGGAGCTCCAGGGAACCAGGCTCCAAAGCCCTTGGCTCCTAGAGAAGAGCACAGGGTTCCAGAGGGACCTTCCCTGCTCGCTTGGCAGCAGCCTCCGGGCACCTTGGCAGCAAGTGACAGTCTCAGGCTTGGAGAGGTGGCTCCAAATGCAGAGCCCACGGTCTGCAATGGGGACCACGCTCCTCTACGGACCTGCCGTGCAAAATAAACGAGCATAACTGGGTGCATCAGCCCAGGTGAACCCTGCGCAAGGGCCTCTGCAGCCTGCGAGGACACTTCTGCTCGGGGACAGAGTCCTAGCAGGGGTTGTGCATCACATCTGGTTTAGCAAGACGTCCCGTGGGGACACGGGAAGGACACTGTAGCTGCCTGGACACATCCCACTCTGCGAGGGGACCATGGGCTCCCTTCCCTAGGAAGGGAGCAGCAGATCCTTGGATTAGGACACTGGGGAGCAGGGATACACAGAAAGTGTATCCTCATTTACACATGGGCTCACACAAACCTCTAACACAAGGATTATTCTTCAAGGGATCCTTTCCATGCAGCTGGAATATCATGAGGTGCCGGGCACAGGGCCGGGATGCAGGTGAGCAGGTCCCACTCCACTAGTGCCACGTGCTGTTGGGGACAGCGGTGGGTGGACAGAGAGCTGGAGATGTGGAGCAGGCTTCTTGGTAAACAGACGGGGCCAAATTCAGCCCAGCAGCTAGTCCAATGAATTCAATGGAGCTAGAACAGGAAGGAACTAGGCTACATCCATCTGTTTATCATTAAGTAAAACACTGAATAGTTAAGTAATTAAAGATTAGGAGAAGTGACACTAAGTCTTCCAAATACACGCTGTACCGAGAGGCTTCAGCTTTTGTTTTTTTTAAAAAGAAATAAGCGCTTCCAGGGTTGCCATTTTGGCTCTCCCTTCTGGATAAAGCCCCTCTTGCCGCTGCTTTGCTGCCCTGCAGAACGTGCCGAATCCGAGGGGTTCGAGCACTGGTTTTCCTGGGAAAGCGGGAGCCGGGTTCCCTGGAGGAGATTTCAGGGCTGTGCCCGGCTCGGAGCGGGTACAGCCTGGGCAGACACTCGTCTCCCGCTGCCCTGGAAAGGGCAGGGATGAAGGCGGTTGCGCTGCGCTTGCTCCGTGCAGGAGGACACAGCACGGAGAGGAAGAGCCAAGCGGGGAGAGGGACCAGCGACATCCACCCAGGGGAGGAGAGCACCAAACAGACGGGAATCGGTCCAGAAAGCAGCCTGCAAGGCAGCGCATCGAGAGCCGGCGGCAGCAAGGTGCAACGAAAGCGACCGGCAGGCCCACGGCGGGTCACCCCCGTGACCGAGCGCTGCCACCCCGTCATTAATGTGGAAGGTGCCTGTGATCTGCTGCATCACAAGGTGACCAGGTGGAAACCACCCAACGGTGACAACCTGTCACCCGAGCGCCCTTCGGGGGACAAGCAGGAGCACGTGCGGAGCCCGGAGCCAGCGCTGCAGAAATCCACGCAGCCGCCCGGCGGCTTCCTGCCCTGCTCCCTCCTGCTGCCTGCAGGAATTGATTTGCAAACGCTCTGCCGAGGGATGCAGCAGCTCACAAGCCCTCTCTGCCACAGCCCTGGCAGGATTAGCTTTACGTTAAGCCACGAAAGTGCCAAACTCCCAGCGCCTGTGACCACTCGGAGCCACCAAGCACCGCCGCGATGGCCTCGGCACCCACTGCACCAGGGTCTCCTGCCTTGTGCCCTTCCTGCACGGCCGCCTCAACAGCGCTTGCCCCCTGGTCCTGGCTCTACTCGGCACAACACGAGTGGTCCCTTGCAGGCAGGGGATGCTGTGGGGACAAGGACCGGGCTCCCCTGCCACCCGAGCTCTTCCTTCAGCCCCGAGGAGGGGAAGCAAAGCGTTAGCTCAAAAGTAGGGAAACAAAACCAGGAGACTTACAGAGAGCCCTTGTTCCAGCGAGTCTGTGTTCACGATTATGGGAGCAGGGTTGGCCTGTGAGGAGACAAAAGCGGAACGTCACGGAGCTGAGCCACGGAGCCGGCCCTCCGCAGCGCGGCTGGGCCAGGCGCAGGGAGCAGGGCAAGGAGCGCAAGGCAGGAAGGGCCCCTGCGGCCAGGGCCAGGGACACGCACGCTGTCACGGCACGGACAAGGCTCCTCTGGCCTCCTGTGGCCCCAGCTGCTGGGAGGGAGCCTGGGGAGGCTGGAAGCTCTCCCAGCCTCAGGCCACCTTCACCGTAACGTCCTTTAAACCCGCCTTACGCGGGCTGAGCCCATCGGAGCGCAGGGGAAGGAGGTTCTGCGGGAGGGATAGACCACAGCGGCCCAGCGCCGAGGGCAGGAGCTGGCACTGCCGCTCCGAGCAGCAGCTGCTGCCCCTCGTGGGCACGAAGCCATCGCCCCGGGGGAGCAGCGCCCGCTGCCCCTTGCCCGTCGCCGTCCGAGCGGGGCCGCCGCGCACGCGCCTGCTCAGAGCCGCCCCGTCTCCCCCAGGGCTCTCCGTAATAAATCTCTCTCCAGGCCCTTCTCCCACATCCCCCATCCGCGCTGCCTGGCGCGTGTTTTACAGCCTCCCTTCAGCGCCGGGAGCTGCTCCCCGCTTAGACCAGCAGCTTCTCCGATCTCCCCGCAGCTCCGCTTTGCTTCCAGCCCTGTGTCCGATCGAGTCAGCACCGACGCTGCGAGATGGCCAAGGAGGCCGAGCTGCCTCCGCGGCCGTCGGAGCAAGACGGCAACCCCCGGCCTTGGGGCGGCTGATGGCCTTGGGGTGGGAGCAGCAGAAACACAGGGCAGGCAGGAGGCCCTAGAGAGAGGGGGAGGCTCTTTCGGGGGAAGAGAGGGTTTCTGAAGGGCCAAGAGGGTTTTATAGCTGCAGGACCAAGAGGAGGAGGAGGAGGAGGAAGATGAGGAGGCCACGCTGCATTGGAGCTGTCCAGCACTGCAACCTCCTGAAGGCACCGCCAGGACCGGGAAATCCAGGAATGCGGATCCCGAGCACTTTTCCTCCACACAAGAGTGTTAGGGAGCAGGGACAGAAGCTGAGACACTCCAGCCTTGTACGAGGTGATTTCTCACCAGGACACACGGCCGCAATTTCGCAGGATTCACGGCGCGATGCCAAGGAACGCACGGAGAAGAGCAACCGGGGAAGGGTAGGGAACACTGAGAGGCGGAAGCTCCCCAGGGGGAGGTGAATCTGCTGCCTCGGAGCAGTGAAACCATCACGTCCAGAGCCAGGAGCAAAGCAAAGGCACGGGCATGTGTAGCCATCAACAGGAACCACCGTGTGTCCAACAAGGCCAGCGTTGCCCTGCGTGGCTGGGTGGCCTCCTAGACTGCTCTGCTTTTGCAGTAACAAATTGTCCCCTCACTTCTCCGGGTTTGTAGCCCTCCTCTGAGCCCTGGGAGAGGAGAACCTCCTCAAACACCACAGACCACAGGCTCCACCTCCCCGTTTCAGCTGACTTCTCACTCTAGTAGCATCTTCGGTGGAAGGCGGTCAACAAGGCTGTGGTTTTTGTCTTACCCTGAAAGGTCCTGCTCTCATAAGGACGGACCTGGAGATATTTAATTTGATTTATTCGGATGCTTCCTGATCTTTCCTGCAGCTGTAACTATTGGTTACAAAGCCATGGTTTTTATGGCAATTAATTCTGTAGCTCAGGCAAATATGACCACTTCCAAGTGCTCCTGCCAAACTCCTCCCACACAGGGAAGAGAATCACAGCCTCCAGGTCCGATGTCTTGGGATCTCCATGGCCCAGAAGCAGACTTAAGCTGGGAATATCCCTCCTCTGGCAGTACATAGTCCTTGTATTTAATCCAGATAATTTGTGAGATAGCATATATTAAACCTGGCACTGGCTTTTATTAGTCCCCAGTGCGATTCTAGGAAGGGATTCCACATTTCAAGGCAAGAAAGCAGCACTTCTACTGCCAGCAATTAACAAATGGTGGATGTTTGAACCACGGCGTGCCAGAGGCCAGCTCTGATCAGAAGGGTTTCCAGGAAGGATGCAGGAGAGGCAGTCCAAGCGAGCGCAGCCTGTCACGTGCCCCGTGATTTATGACATGAATTCAACCCCACGAATGATGCTTTGGATCCCTCCCAGGGAGAAGGGCTATGCACAATTATGGTAGAGCGGCTCTCGCAGCTCCAGCCCGCGTCCTCCTGCGAGCCCCATTGCAGCCGCTTTGCTGAATTACTAAGAGCCCACAAATCACACATCGCGCCGCCTCGCTCGCGCACTGGCGAGCCCTAAGGACAGATTTTGTCTAGCCTGCTCACTGTGCACTGAGCATCCTTCACAGTCATTCCACACTAGTGATTTTTACATCTCAAAATACTGCTAGGAGCACAATTTCCCACTCAGGCTCCAGATGGGACCCAGGAGATGCTGAATGCGAGTGGCTGCTTAAAACAACGTCGCACGTTGGCAGGAGGAATTCAGAGCAGGAAATCCCTCCCGTGGCCAGCTATTCCAGTTACTACACAAAAGGTGTTTGGACATTATCTCTGCCCTCCAGTTGCAAAGATCTCAATGTTTGCACCTTGCCTCTACTTCCACGGAGCCAGACAAGACCAAGCTAAGATTCGGAGATGAACTGAGGCCCTGAAAATGCAAAGCTGCTGCCTTCCTCCACGAGGCACCACGTACACCAAGCCATCTGCCAGCCAGAGGAGGAGCAGGAACATTACTATTATTTTTTGGCAGACAGTAGGAACGTGCTGGTGAACTAAGCATGCCCTCAACCCTATAGGGAACAGTAAGTAATTCCTGCCCTCGGGAGCACGGGGTTGTTGCATGCAGGAAGCAGAGCTGGGCATTCACGTCACATTCAATGGGGGCTGTCAGATCTCTTCCATCTAAACTGCTTCATCGCACTGTGGTTATTTACCCAGCTCTGTGCTGGGGGCTGGAAGAAGAAGAGGTCCCTGTCGCTGGGGTGCTCGTGTGGCAGAACCTGCACCCAAGAGCAGCGGCGACAGAGGTGCCCAGGACACCCTACATCAGGCAGAGGTGCACGGGGCTGCCCAAATCCTCATGCTCCCTGCTGAAGGTTACAGGGAAGACACGGCTCAAGGAGGGCCCCGGGCAAGGGCAGAGTCCTTCCACATATGCAGAGAGCCCGACGTGGGCTCCAGGGAAGAGGGGGTGAAGCCAGAGAGGCAGGGAACAGCTGTTGGGAAGCTCTGGGCAGCCAGGGATGCGGAAAGGAGCAGGAGGCTGAAGGTGGAGAGGTTTGAAGGTCAGGCCCAAGGCTCCTGCAGAGGGAGAGCGCGGAGCCAGGCTCACGGCAGCTGGCACGAGGCTGAAGCCAGGAGGATGCTGCAGGTCTGCGCGTGGGGCGGGAGAGACAGGGATGTGTGCCCCTTTGGAAACACCTTGGGATGCAGCCAGATATCACCTTTGAGCAGTCATCTGAGAGAGACAGCTACCGTTTGGGCTGTTTTGAATGAGTGACTGGTCTTGGCAGCTCGGGGTCACAACGCAAGTCACCTGCAAGCCGCCACGCTCCATCTATTCGCAGCCTATGGTCCCTCGCCTTTTATTTCTGCTCTTATCATCTGCCACGACAAAGGCAGGATGGTAAAACGCGAAGGTTTTTCAAAATTTCCAACCAAAAGAAAAGCTGCAATTAAATGAAAACAGAGAAGTTGGTTGGCTTGTTTCAGAGGGAGCGAGCCCTGACCGCAGCGTTGCCACGAAGGGCGGTTGCCAGCCCGGGAACCAAGAGGGGAAACCCTGAGCTGGAATTTCAGGATATTCCCTTTGGAACAAAACTCCCGAAGCTGTGTGGGTCCCCCTATGATCCTCCAGGACAGCAGCCAGCCCGCAGAGGTTGGACCCCGCGTACCTCTTCCAGGTCTCCTGCTCTATCTGTGCAAGCTCCCAGGCTGGGTTAGAGGGAGAAGCTCATCCGCCTTTGACCATCCTTTGCGTGGTGCCAGCTCGGGTATAACCAGCAATGCTCAAAAGGAAATGGCTCTGGAGATAAGAGCAATTCAGCCTTTACATCCTTATAAAAGCTCGTAGCGGCCAAGCAGGGAGATGCTCAGCAGAAGGCATCGGGGCACGCCAGGCCGCCTGTTTAGCTGCTTGGAAAAGGTGTAAAATCATGGATAAAATGGTGTTTTTACAGCTTTCAAAGCAGCTGCTGCGGGGCAGCCCCAGGCAGCGCGGCGGCTGC